ATTTAATAAAAATTAATTTTAAATATAAGAATTTAAATTTTAATATATTTCTATAAATTATGAACACTATAATACAGCCGCAAAAATAATTATTTTTTTATAAAAAAATTAATCACCTGTTCTAAATTATATAAAAAAAATGAAAAATAAAATCACAAAAGTTTTGGACTTTTTGGCAACGTTCACAATGAACGTCCAGTACGTTGAGGGTTCGCCATCACTCGTACGATTATTATACGCTAACGTGAATTGAGGAACACCGGATCGTCAACGCGCCACCTAAGCGGGTTCTGCCGCAATTTCCCGAAAAGTCGAGGGGGTAGACTTAAAAAACCCAAATGAGTCTTATCCAAAGTCCCCCGTCTCTCTATAAGTCGCACTGCTCCGAACAGCCACAGACCTCCCTTTCTAACAGTCTTCTGAAAACTAAATAAGCTATTTACCAAGGGGGTTTTCAGAAGATGGCAGGGTTGAAGAACCCTCACCGATTTCTCGCACCTTTGCCGGCGGCCGAGATCGGCTGCGACGACGACTTCGACTTCGACGAATCCGATATATGGGGTTTCGGGCCGGAACCCCGGGAAGAAGATCGCCGGAAGCCGATCCCGGTCCGGCGATCGGGTAAAAAGAAGATGGAAAAAGGGGATCGGCCCAGCGGAGCAGCGGTGGCGGCGGGTTCCCTGCCGGTGAACATACCGGACTGGTCGAAGATCTTGAAGGAGGAGAACCGCGGCGTTGTCGCCCGAGGAAGGGGGCGTCAGTTCTTGGATTACGATGAAGGGGACGAAGAGGTGATGGGGAGCGGATCGGTGATTCCGCCGCATGAGCTGCTGTGGAGGCGGCGGGAAGCTTCGTTCTCGGTGCAGGAGGGGATCGGAAGGACACTGAAGGGCCGCGATCTCAGCCGCGTGCGCGATGCGATATGGCAGAGGACTGGTTTCCAGGCTTGACCTCATCCGCCGCCGGCGTTCGCCGCTTCTCCTAATTTTATTTAATTTTTGGGGGTTTATTTTATAATTTTCTGATTATGTTATCGGTAGGTTTTGAGGTGAATTTATTTATTATGTAATTTTCTCGATGAGTTATTGCTCGCAAGAGATTGGGTCGGTTCCGTACATCTGAGATGTTTTGTAAGGTGATGGATGCAGTATTGTAATATTTGTAAATGTTAATAAAATTACTAATATTATTTTAATTTTATTAAATTTTAATATTGAAAAAATATAAAGTTATAAATATCAAATAATATAGAATATAGAATCAAAGCATTTTAATACGAAAAACAATTGCGATTTAAAAATTCATATAAAGTAATTAGGTGAATATTTTTAATTTAAAGAAAAATTAATTAAATAGTCTCATAATTTTTAAGAATCAAAATAGTTCCTTTATGCTATTTAAATATGAGATAAATAACCTTTCAGGAAATAATTTGCTTTCTCTATTTAAATTTAAAGGATTTAAATTAAAATTTTAAAAGTTATGAGCAATTATTGCATATTTTTTAACAATTGGAGATTATTTACATCTTATAATTAACTTTAATTTTTTTAAGTTGAGTAATTTATATTCTGCTATCTCACTATCTCATAATAATTTAAAATTTATTCTAATTTAAAATTCTGTTGCGTTATCTGAAATAATATCTTTAAATTTATATAAACTGCTTTTCAAAATTATTTGATAAAAAATTTATGTTTATCTGGTTTTCTTAATATTTAAATTAATTAAGATATATTTATATAATTAGAGCTTAAAATTTAGTAATTGATAATTAAAGTCCTGAATTAATAGACTGAGAGTCTACGAAGATGAGTTGTGTACCTGATTTTTTTTTTTTCATTACTATAAGTCCGCATTTGCCATTTGGTGGACGGCCGGATTACACGTGTAAGAAGCTTATTTGTCAAAATTATTATTATTCATAAATTGAAGATTGTAAATAATGATTTACGTTGGACTGCACCGTGAAACTTCGAAATTTTCTGTACGGGAACCGGAAACGCGCCAACGGATAAAGCAGCGGTTTTCCATTTCCATTAGCCATCACAGGGCGAGGTATTTACAAGAGGTGGGCATCCGTGTAATTTATTAAAAAATTACTTAATATATTTGAAAGAAGCTTCCAAGTATACCAAACGTTCGACAAACTACTCGTTGTTCGGTTCGTTTAAAGCTCGTTTGTGATCGTTCAATTAACTAACCAAACAAACTTGAATAATATTTTAAATACTCGATTCTTAAATAAACAAACTTGAACACTAATGTGTTCGGCTCATTTATGTTCACGAACAACATCATTTGAAGTTCGTGAACAAATTCGACAGTAAGCTCGATAAAAGTTTGATTCATGTTCGATTTTGAACTCGTGAATAAGTTAGATAAAAATAATTAATATTTGACTATAAAATTAATAAATATAAATAATCATTGCCTTTGTTATATATACAATTGCTTTTATTATAAATGTGCTTGTTTATAGATATGTTCATGAACGTATTTGTTTGATAGTTAAAAAAATTTGTTAAATATGTTGGCAATCAAGCTCGATAAGCACTAAACGAACGAACATGAACTGAACATGAACCGAACATGAACACCCATTAATTTAAATGAACCAAACATTAACACAAACAATAAAGCTCGAACAAACATGAACACAACTTGAACAAGCTGATATTAAATGAACACAAACATGAACACTCACATACTCGACTCGGCTCGGTTCGTTTGCAGCCCTACTCAAGGGTTGTTATAATGAATTTTCAGGTTGAGTTTATGTTCAATTTGAAACTTACCAGTCTCCAATTTCTTCAACCTGAACTCGACTCGACTAGGCAAACCAGTTAGAAATTCAAACCTTGACTCAACCTGACCTGCATATGTGAGCGAGGTGCAATCGCAGGGAAGCAGGCGAGCGCAGTGCAAGGCTGCTAGCACAAGCACAAGTGAGGCTGGTGAGCGATAGACCGCCAATGTTAGGCTAAGATGAGAGCGAGCACGGGCTCGGGGCGGGGTCACGATGCGGTGCAGGATAGGAACCCACATGGGCGGAACCAAAGGTTCCTTGGGAGTTGGGAGAGTAAATTTTTTTTTAATAAGAGAGTAAAATTTTTTTTTTGCCCCTCTTAAAAATTTATTTTTTCCCCCCTAAAAAAATCTTTTGTTCTAATTTGCCCTAAAATTTCTATATATTTCTTCACATTTAGTTATAATATTTTATTTCTTGCTAATCATGATAGTTTAATTACACATTTTTTCTTTATTTTTCTTGCCTTATTTTTTTTTTTTTACTTTTCATAATATGTAGATATATAATATTATTTTTTAATATTTAATTATTTACTGTTGTATTGACCCCCCTCTAAAATTAAGCTGTGTTTCGCCCCTGGAACCCAGGTCAGTTTCTGGGTTAATTTTCGAGTTTTTGAGTTTAACTTAAACCAGACTTGAATTTTATATTGGGCCAGGATTTGAAACCCAACCCAAACCCGTTTCCAAGATAGGCCTTTCCCGTAACCCACATTTTATAGGTTGAGTTTTGAGTCGTTTTTCGAGCCTTGTCAAATATTGGCACCCCTACGACTCTTAATTATGTTTCTCTATTGGAAATATGTATATCATTTTATTTATTTATATTAAATTAATTATTAATATAAATTTTAATATATTGATATATTATTGATTAATTAATGAAATATATAAATTTAAATAATAGATATATTCTATATGAGCCATTTTGCTTGGCTTTAAAGATTTGCTAATCTCATTAAATTTTTTAGGAAGAATATGCAATGCAAAGCAATTCTATAAGAGATACATCATATTTCTGGGATGGTTATAGATCTTATATACGTGTTTAATTTTACTTAATTTGTCTAAATTAGTACTATAATATTATGTTTGGCTGACTTCCAGATGATTTTAGGTGAAATTGGTTGAATTAGCGGCTTAATAGGTTAGTTGATCTTAAAGCAATCAAGATAGCTTGACTCTAAGCTTATTATCTTTCTTAGTCAAGCTTATTATCTTTCTTGTGCATGCGTCATGGTCAAGAAAGAAAGAAAGGTGAAAAGGAGGAAAATTTATTTTATGCAGTCATAGGATATCGTTCGAAGGTGAATCAGGACGCGCCCTACGTCACTTTTTTGCTGTGTACTGGAAGACTAATTCGTCTCCGGACGATTCGGTGACCGCACGTAATAATTTTTCAAATGGAAGGGCCCTTTGGTCACTTGCTATTAAAAGTAGCTCATTTGAGTGTTGAGATTTAAAAAAAAAAAAAAATCTCTATGAATAAGAACATCAATATTGTTCAAATTCACACATAGAGCCATCCAAGTGAAAGCCAAATCGCTCAAGGCATAATGCTTATGTCGAGCATCACTGTGTCAATTATAAATGGCCTTCTTCTACAAATAAATAAATAAATAAATAAAAAGGTGGGGCAATAAAAGAGAGCATAGTATATGGGAATAAAGTGAAGAGCTTGAGTGAACAATGATGGAATAATTTCCATAGAAAATGTCACAATTTAACAAGTGACAAGCTCTGAAGAATTGAGGGATGTTATTCAGATGGGCATTGAGCGACGACATGTAGCTGGAACATCAACGAATGATGATAGCTCAATATAACATTTGATATTGTCTATCATAATTGAAGTACCAACCTTCATATTCAAACTCTTGCAAGAAGAAAGCTTAGTTTTGTAGATCTAATTGGCTCCTGAAAGATAAAGAAATTCAGGGAAAATCAATTAAAAGAAGCTTGAAACATTAATAAATATACAATTTGCTGATGCATACATTTAGAATAAAGTATACTGTGAATGAGCTGAGTAAGAATGTTTCGTCTAATGAGGCTTCTCATTTGAAAGAAATGGTTGCCTGTTGGAAGACTTAAGAAAGTGCTTTGAAGAATCGACATTATACTCACTTGATATTGATATCGAGGCCGTATTAATTAATAAGTTAGTATTTGAACAAGAGTTTCTTGAACAGATATTCAAGATAAAGAATCTCAAGCTAATGACCATATATTATTTTATTAATACCATAAAGTTAATAAAATAATATATTAATGTATTGAAGACTTGTACAAGGCAATAACTGTAATGGAAAAATTCTTGAAGCCAGGGAATCAGCCGATATTGCTAACATCCAAATCACATATGCAAATGATTTAAAGACGGCCTCAGGCAGCCTCTTGGCAGCAAGCTCAGTTCAGTCATGCCACCTGCAACTTATGAGCAATATGTGATTGAGAAAATTGACAAGCTACACCTAAATTGCAATAGTTTGGTTAGCCACGACCCTTTGGTGTTTCAATGTCAAAGAAAATTAGTTACAAAATAATGATGAATTCAACCTGACGTGCATTTCCTTAAAAGCTTATTAAGGAAAAGTTAGTGTAAGGATTGCATATAAAAGCAGCTATGAATATATATAGCTAATGAATGCAGGATAAGTCGAAATAATTAAGAATAATTCCTTGTTACTTCTCAATGATTAACGCTTAAAAAAAAATGATCCATTGGAGGAGTAAATTATTTGTTCTACAGTGCTATCCTTCTTTAAGTCATTATGACAAACATTATGCATGCACAATAAGGGGTTCTATAAAGCTACAGGCCACAATATAATATAAATAAATAAATAAAGTACTAGATTATCCGGTACATGCTACAATTTATATTCATATTATTGAGTGATACTCATAAGAATATAATGGATATAACTAATGGCATATATATTTAACGGTAATTAAGAATAATTTATGTAAGGATATATATGCCAGCAAAACAAAACTGATATGAGATGGCTCTATGTTCAAAACCCTATCTATAACTGACC